CCCCCCCAAGAAAAAACGAACTCAAATATCTAACATTCATTAGGCAATTAAAAAAGAAAAAAACACAACATACCATATCATTAAGAAGCAAATCAAGAACATCAACAACACAAGAGAGAGAAAAAAAACACATGGCAGCTTTACATTAAAACTCAAACTATATCATAAAGATTGAATCTTTAGACTAACCCATAAAGAATCTATCATTAAGCTATTGTTTCTGATGTTTTTGGAATTAAAACAGATTGAAACATACCTAAAGAAGCGGATTTTTCAAGAATCAGCCACTATTTGCATCTTTAACCAAAAACCATTTTTGAAAATCTCATAAAACCAATTAAAAAAACAAAGGAACAACAATATTCAGATGGGTTAATATTGTGAAGTGTTAAAGGTTGAAAAGTGATGGAAGTAGAGAAGCTAAATATTATTTGCCAGTAGAAAAAACTGGTCAGAAAGAAAATATAGAAAAGAACAGATCACAATGAAGAGTTTAATATGCGAATGGAGTTTTGAGGAGATGAATTTATGCCATTAAAGGTTGAGAGCTGTGGGAATAAGCTAAGGCAAAGAGGCAAAGCCAAAGAAGACTACAAATGAAAGAAGTGAAGAGAAGAAAAATGGGACAGTAATAGTAATAGAAATTGTTGAAAAGATAATTTTATTTAGGATTTTTATGCTCAACGTTTAAGGTTTGTGTTTATTATATTTCAGCATACCAAATTATTATTTATATACCATAATTAATTTAGAGGTATAATTAATTGGTAGTTTCTTACTCCTTAATTAAAGGTGTTCATATATCTCACGTTTCTCTCTCCCCTTAATTACTAAGATCTGACCGGCCCGTTTTCCCCCTCTCATTTCTTTTTCTTCTCCGTTTCTATTTCTCGTTTCTTTCTTATTCTACTTTGTTTTGTTTTTTAATCCATTTTTATAAACATAAAAAAAGTATACTAAATAAGTTGTTGGCTAGGTGATGAATCTCATTTTACCTATTAATTCATGTAATGATTGCTAAAATTGTAGTAGCTAAATGAAGCTATTTTGCCAGCATAAGTTGACGCAAGCTGTGTTGATTTGATAGCTGTACATAGCACACTTGTGGGTGATTCTTCAATTACCGGAAAAAATATCGAAGAGTACATGGTCAGCACTACCGTCGCTGCTCCTTTTTACCATCGCTATTGGAGATTTCAGAAGGTGTGTTGCTTGTGGTAGACTTGTAGGTAGTCGTCCGATTGACAGAAAAGTTGCCGGAGTCGGAAAAGTTCAATGTACCAATCCAATAAACGGTGACGATTTTTGTAGATGAAGAGCAAATTTTATTGTCAATATTTTTTTTCACATAAGATTGTAGTTTAATTGTAGTATAAATATAGTAATTTTGTAGAAATTGTAGATAAATTGTTGAAAAATTAGAAAAATTGTAGATAAATTGTAGACTATTTTTTGCAGAAGATTTTGTAGAAGCTTTAGTCGTTTTGGATTTGTAAAAACAGAAAACAATGCATCTACAATCAGAATACAAATAATCTACAATTTATCTACAAGATATCTACAAACTGGATACATTGAATTTTAATATCCCAATTCTCATTTCAATTGTAGCATAATTGGCATTTTCGACATAATTGTAGAAGATTTGTAGAAGTTTTAGTCTTCCCAATCTACAATTTATCTACAATTCTACAATTTATCTACAATTTCTGGAAATATGTCTTCTTCTTCTTCTTCGAGTTTCAATCTGAAATTCAGTCAAAACCAAGTCTAATCTTCACCAAAACCCCTCAAAATTGAGATATAAACTCCTAAACATATTCCGAATTATTTACAACAACACCCAATCCAAACAAATAATGATTTTTGAAAACCCAAATTTGAATTCAAAGCTTTCAAGCTTTTTAATGGCTATCAATGGTGGAAAATATATGGAAGAACAGATTTTTTCAACTTTGAGTTGTTGAAACTCGAAAATTTGAATTGTTCGTTCTTTTTTTTTCGAGAATTTGAATTGTAGTTCTGGAGAAAAATACGCAGATGAGAAATCTCCTTTTCCTTTTTAAAAATTAAATTTAATGTAGAATCAATTAACACCAAGATTATCTCCTTAATTTTAGCGCGTTTTTAGGGAATATTCTGCCCTTTTAATGCCTAATAGTCGAATGGTATATAAATTGTAGTTAAAGTATGGACTGGGCGGGTAATTAATAAACTATGCACATTTAGGGTAATAAGGTTTCATATATGGTATAGTTAGGAAAAAATTCCTTTTATTTATCTCAATGGGCAGTTTGGGAAATTAGGAGATAATAGGAAAAAGAAAATAAAATAAATTTCAACCAAGTAAGATTAAATTATTCTTTCTCTTTTATTTTATATAGCACTCTTTATTTTTTGACTTATTTTAAAAAAAAACACCTTTCTACTTTTAAAAAAAAATTAAATTTAAATTTACGCACCATATTTTCATGATAAAAATATCTTGGCATATTTGAGATACAATTTTAAAAAGTCTTTTGTAAATTGTTTCACTGTCAAACACCCTAATATAAAAAGAAACTGAAGGAGTAATAAACTTGATAAGGAAGGGGTGGGGTTGTTGTAATATGTGAATTATTAAGGGGACATCTTCATGAACATCTCATGGGTCGCCTTTACTACGTAAACCAAGTTAATGTTGAGCGAATAATTAGTAGAGTATTTAATAGATGGTAAACATGATTTATTTTTAAAGATGAAACCGTTCATAATTGTTTACCGTGAAAATGGTAATAATAACTAAATTTGATTTTGTGGTTCTAAAAATACGTGATCTATTTTTATGCTAGTTGTTAGACAATGGATATTAAATAAAAGATTAAAGAGCAAGATTATAGCTTAGAGACGATGTGATAATCGAACCGAACGGCTGGAGGTCGGGGCCTCGGGCTACCATATATGAGGCCTCGAGGTCGAGTCTGGAGGCCGGCTTAGGGCAATCGAGGGAGAACTAACAGTTATGAGAGCTAAAATGATAGCTCTTTATGATCAATGATAAGCAATAAATGATGAACAATAAATAGAACACAATGAATATAAGCAATAAATGGAAGTAATTAGATCAAAAAAATATGTTAGAGAGTAGAGAGAATGTTCTTGTGTATTTAATATTGAGTATCAAATCCCTACAAAATGACAAGGATTCCCTTTTTATATGAGAGAGAATCCCAACATAGTACAAATGCATTTATTACAAAGATATGGGGCTGATACAGCCAGTTAATGTCATGATGCGGGGTTTGACTAGTCTGACAGGTTTCGTCAACTCTAGCTACGCGCTTTGGGAACTTCCCACTTTTTTACCATAACCGCCGATCTATACTGCCCCGAGGTTGGGCGTCGATAGCCCCTCGGGGGTGAATCTCGACCATAGCCTCGAGCCTTCGAAAACGTGCCTACGAGGCATCGTAATGACGAAAAATTGGACCCTCCGATTTTACCGTATACATCCCCGCGTTTCTTAGAGTGGAACGACAAAAAATGACTTTGATATCCATCTCTTCGAACTTCCCGCGATGATGTCATACTTATGACGTAAGCCTTTGTGATAACCGTAGCGCCCCGTCGGTTCATCTTTCTAGAATCATTCAATGCACTGCCGATTCTTATTCTTCAAAGCGATAATGTCGCCGCCGGTCCAGCTCTCAAAAACGCATTGATTGCACATACCGATACGTCTTTCAAAGACATTGATGGCGTCGTCGGTTACGCTGTCACCCTTTCAATAAATGGGAGCCACCTGGAACCAATTCTTTATTCAAATGTTCTTCAACAGCCTTTCACCATTTTCTTCTCTTCATCCTCATCCATTGTTATTTCCCATGTTTGAGGCCCGTGGCCTTAAGGTTACATGGCGGCATTATCATCAGTTACGCCATGCCCTTTTTCTAGGGTTTTTCCTTACCGAGCGAGATTGCACTGATTTGTTGTTGTTGTTGTTGACCCGAGGTGATGAGAGAGAAATCTCAAATTATCGTCGCATTAGAGGATATGCGGACTATGAACTTCCACTCATCTCTCCTAACTACCCGGTGCAGCGCCGCACTCATTTTACTTTTCGTGGAGTGAGGTGGTACTATCTGCTAACTGTTGCATCCCGCACCGGTGCAAAGTCTCAAGAAGTGGCTTCACAATAGTAGTGATGGCGAAATCCATACTAGCCAGATTTTTCACCCAGCCACTTCTTTATCCCTCTCCACTCCTTCATCTTTTTCTTCTTCTTCTTTTTCATCCTTTTCTGCATCACTTTCCTTTTCTCCATCTTCTCCCTTGATGATGCTATTTTGGAAGATCGAGACGAGGCCCCCAAGGAGATGGTGCTCGAAGATACTGGCGCCGAGGATGCACCCCCAAGGATAGATTAGACTCTTGGCTTTTATTATATATGTATCTTTTCTTTGCTTCTTTGTTTCTGTGTAAGGATCCATCGTGGGCTTTTGTAATCATATGTAAGGACTCCCCGTTGGCTTTTGTAATCATGGTTTATTAATTCAAGGAGATTTCTTCGATTTTTCTTTGATTTATGTTGAATCCCCTCTTTATTTGTGTTTGTGAATAATCTGAATGCATGACTCTACCGACTGGCGCGAATATTAAGCCCGAGTGTAAGTAATTCTTATGGCTCTTGATTGATTAACATAATTCCCCATAGAACCCTTCGTCGTTCCTTGAACCGAGCCTGGATTGGATTGATAAACTCGGGTCGTCGGGACCCCGACTTCGAGTTGAATGAGAGTAGGGCTTCGAGACTTATCCTTTTAGACACCACGATAGTCCTCGAGGGGGGATTTGCTTGGTTTCCTGAGAATAATGATAGCCTTTAGGCCTTCGAGAGCAGTCCCCGAATGGGGGTTCGCTCAAGCTCGGGTGACCTGGAAACTTGTTTTGAACTCAGTGTAGATAGTCTTCAGGTGTTGCAGATAGATTCCGGATGAGGGCTTACCTGGGTTTAGATAGTACCTAGGTTAAAGTAATCGAGAGGACGGTTTTAACTTGACCCGAGGATTCATGTAGCTCGAGGGCCGGAGGGTCAGATAAATGGCCCGTACTTACAATAGCAGAAATCTTCGAGATGGGGTACCACCTCGAGATCAAGCCCACATGAGTAGGTTTTTAGAGCTTATTTTCTTCTTAACAAAAGACCTTGAGATCGGATACCATCTTGAGGCTTAGGATGATGTCAATGGCTCCTTGGAGCATATCTTCTTGGTGGAGGTCCTCGAGATCGGGTACCATCTCGGGACTTGTAATGATGCCAATGGCTTCTTGGAGACCATATCTTCTTTTTGGAGAAAGTCTTCGAGATCGGGTACCATCTCGGGACTTGTAATGATGCCAATGGCTTCTTGGAGACCATATCTTCTTTTTGGAGAAAGTCTTCGAGATCGGGTACCATCTCGAGGCCTGCAATGATATTGATGGCTCCTTAGAGCCTTTCTTCATTTTTGACAAGGGTCCTCGAGATCGGGTACCATCTCGAGGCCTGTAATGATATTGATAGCTCCTTAGAGCCTTTCTTCTTTTTGGAGGAGGCCTTCGAGATCGGGTACCATCTCGAGGATTGGTTGATGCGAGGGTCTCTG